CAGATGTTAGAAATTCAATAAAATTCTATTATGTAAATATTTTTATATCTAAAATTATATATTTACATTTGGATTATTGCATATGTTGTAGAATATCAAACAAAATTGCTCATCATAAAATTACAAAAGGTTCACAGTACATCTTGTTTCAAAGCAGCTACAAAAATGCTTCAATCAATGTTATAATTAAATGATTTCATGCATGAAAGTATAAATATCAATACATTTAAATTATAACATTTATTTTATTGCATTTGTATGTAAATCAATAAAAAATGCAGTTATTTCTTTCATTTTTGTCCTCAGTCTTCATGAATGCTGCCATCCCAATCGCTGCTGTTGTCATAGTGAGTCGCACTCTTATGTAATGCTCTCTCTCTCTCTCTCAGCTTCGCTGGTTTGTATGTCAGTGTGAGAGCTCTGTGTGTGTTCTGCTGGCAGATCTTTGCGGTTCACGTGCACATGCACAGCGCTACAGACTTCGATCTGTCTCTCGCTGTGGCGTTCGGCTCGCTGTCGCTCTTCCACATCCTGGTGACGCCTCTCTTTCTGCTCTCCAGCGTCCTGCACTCCACCGTCAAAGCTCTGGTCAGGTGACCGACACCATTACCACACATCTGACATCCATACCCTTCAGGAACTAGGGCTGCATGGGCAATATGGCAAAAAAATAAAATCTCGTTTTTTTTTACGATTTTTAACTAGTCAACTTGAGAATGTAACTACAACATGATTCAAGTAACTTTTTCTTTCTTAACCCTCTACACTCTACACTACAGCAGGTGCTTCACAGTGATGCCATAGAAGAACCTTTTTGTCTAAATGGTTCCATAAAGAACCTTTAACATCTGAAGAACCTTTCTTTGACTGAATGGTTCTTTGTGGAACCAAAAATGGTTCTTCTATGGCATCGCCATAACTACACCTTTATTTTTAAGAGTGCAGTTAAAGAAAATTCTATTCCAAGTGCAGCACACACGAGGTTGTCAACATGTTAAACAAATCACGTATTAAATATCTTTGTAGAAATTATGCATGAACTACAACTACATATTGTACAAACTTGTCTTACACATATATAAGGAGCACAAAAGCAGTCTTAAGTCGCTGGGGTATATTTGTAGCAATAGCCAACAATACATTGTATGGATCAAAATGATCCATTTTTCTTTTATGCCAAAATTAATTAGGATATTAAGTAAAGATCATGTTCCATGAAGATACTTAGTAAATTTCCTACCGTAAATATATCAAAACTTAATTTTTGATTAGTAATATGCATTGCTAAGAACTTAATTTGGACAACTTTAAAGGCGATTTTCTCAGTATTTAGATTTTTTTGCACCCTCAGATTCCAGATTTTCAAATAATTG